AAACCATGTTTTCATACTTTTTTAACACTCGTATGTACAATCACGCATCAAAGAAGTTGGCTAAAAATGAGCTATAAAAATATTTTAAATTAAATCAAAAACCTAAAACCGAATGGTGGCACGAGCAAACTGTGCAAACGGGTTGTAAAAACTTTTTTTTGGTACATAGATCATTTTTTTTTCTGGTCCGGGACAAAAGAAATGTATTTTTCAGTTCCAGTCCAATATACAAGCATGAGAATCTATTTACTCGACGTTTTTGAGTGATTTCGATGTTAGCTATCGGGGGCTTCTTTGGCAGTACTTACAAGGAGACCACCCCAGCTCCGGGTCATGGATTTGCTCCAAAATTTTTTTGGGGTCTCCTGGTACCCAATACTGAAGCCATCTGTGCTTAGTTTGATCTCATGGGCCTTAGGGCCCATTTTTTAGAGGATTTTCCACATTATAAAAAAATCTTTGTTATTTTCTATATCGATATTGAAGTACTTAAACGAAAAAATACGACGATCAAAAGTTTTAAAATTTTTCAAAGAATCTGCTTGAATTTTTCCAGAATTTTTGGGACCATCTATCACTTAATTCAAGAGGCCCAAATTTGACGCTTTTTTAATAGATTTTAGGACTTCTTAAAGAGAGTAGTAGATGGTCCCAAAAATTCTGGAAAAATTCAAGCAGATTCTTTGAAAAATTTTAAAACTTTTGATCGTCGCATTTTTTCGTTTAAGTACTTCTATATCGATATAGAAAATAACAAAGATTTTTTTATAACGTTGAAAATATAGATCACATCGGAAATGAGTTGGTCCAAAAATGACGTATCAACTAAATGCATTTCTTAAAAGTACATGAAAAAACAAAACTTTTCATGTGTTTAAAAAGTGCCATGGTTCCTTCCTTCAAAATCTACAGCTGCTCAAAGTTAGAATCTGAAAACTAACTTTTTTCTCCATAGGCCCAATGTAGCTATGAAAAATAAATCAAACATAGTATTTTTATGTATTTTTTGATTAGGAATTCATTGGTGATATGTAAAAAGTGATTCAGATACTCTTACACCATTAAAAATCAAAAAAATGCATTTTAGGCCCAAAATAGATGTGTTCGTCCTCTTAGATTTGCCTGAAATTAATAGAGTATCATTACAACATCAAATTAGAGCCCTCTACCAAGTGGCATTATCGGTTGGCCAATATCGAGGAAGATATACTATGAAATGTGGCCATCATTCACTTTTACATCATGATAGACTGAATGTCGACTATCAACACTGCCTAGAGCAATGAACTGCATTAAAAGCAAGCTAGAAACACTAATTGAACACATGAAAAGTTTTGTTTTTTCATGTACTTTTAAGAAATGCATTTAGTTGAGAGGTCATTTTTGGACCTATTAACTCATTTCTGATATGACCCATATTCTAAAAAATGGGCCCTAAGGCCCATGAGATCAAACTAAGCACAGGGAGCTTCAGTATTGGGTACCAGGAGAACCCAAAAAAATTTTGGAGCAAATCCATGACCCGTAGCTGGGGTGGTCTCCTTGTTAGTTCTTTTAGATGACCCAAAAATTCCTCGAAAGAATCGTCGCTAAGTTAAAATTTTAAATTGGTTCAAATTTTATAGGACAATCTATAAACAGATAAGTCAGTATCTTAATTGTAAATAATATAGTCATTAACGATTTAGACATAGTCCATCGATACACTGATCATGTTAAAAGTAAAAACAAATTAGATTGAATTTTGTCTTCCTCGAGTCTTAATACCAGTTCTCTTAATCCCGATGAGTCTTAATACAAGAAGATAAATTTTACTTATTCAATTTCGTGGCATTATATCGAAGGATCCATCGTCAATTTAGGCATCAAAATGGATAAAAGTAAAAAGAAATCCGAAGAAGTTGTCTCGATCGATAATTCAAGTGAACACGGCATTGTTGTTTCAGACGACAAACAACACGTTTGTAATATTTGCCAGGAGGCATTTAACCTCGAAACAAGCATGATAATACACCGAGACACAATTCACAATGAAAAAAAAGATTTTGCATGTAACAAGTGCGAAATGAAATTTGAGTTCCGAAGTCATTTGAGTAGACACCAAATATCAGAACATAAAAGCGAAAAAGATTTTGCATGCGACCAGTGCGAGAAAAAATTTGTGAAAAAATCGAGTTTGTTCACACACCAAAAATTAGTACACAAAGATCGCGAAAAATTCACGTGTCACAAGTGCGAGAGAAAATTTGAAAATAAATCGACTTTACTCAAGCACAAAAGAATATTCCATGAAGTTTTCAAAGATTACTTATGTGAAAAGTGCGCAAAAAGATTTACAAATAAACATACTTTGCTCTTGCATATAAAGACAGTACACGATAAGTATGGAAAGAAATTTGGACAAAAAAGTCAGTTACTCTTCCACCAAAGAACAATACAAGATGTTGAGAAAAATTACGCATGCGACAAGTGCGAACATAAATTTGGATGCAAATCGACTTTTTTTCGCCACCAAAGTACAGTCCATGAAGGACGCAAAGATTACGCATGCAATGAGTGCGAGAAAAAATTTGGACAACGATGCAATTTAATGAGACACCAAAAAATAGCCCACGAAGGTCGCAAAGATTACGAATGCGATAAATGCGAGAAAAAATTTGGACGTAAGTTGCATTTGCTCAGACACCAAAATACGGTCCACGAGGGTCGCAAAGATTACACATGTGACAATTGCGAGAAAAAATATCAAAGAAAAGAATATCTGCTCTACCACCAAAGGGCAATTCACGAAGGTCGCAAAGATTACGCATGTCACAATTGCAGGAAAAAATTTAAAAGTAAAGGAGGTTTACTCTACCACCAAAGGACCATTCACGAAGGTCGGAAAGGTTACGCATGTGACAAGTGTGAAAAGAAATTTAGGGATCGAAGCAATTTGATCATGCACCAAAAGACAATACATCAAGGTTGCAAAGATTACGCATGTGACAAGTGCGAGAAAAAATTAAGATATATATCAGATTTATTGAAGCACCAAAGGACAGTACATGAAGGTCGAAAAGATTTCGCATGTGACAAATGCGATAAAAATTTTGGGAATGAATACACTTTGATCAGACATAAAAAAATAGTGCACGAAGGTTATAAAGATTATGCATGTGACCAATGCGAGAAAAAATTTGGACAAAAATCGCATTTGCTCAAACACCAAAAAGTAGTTCATGACGGTCGCAAAGATTACGCATGTGACAAGTGCGAGAAAAAATTTGGATATAAATCAGATTTATTGAAGCACCAAAGGACAGTACATGAAGGTTGAAAAGACTTCGCATGCGACAAGTGCGAGAAGAAATTCGGAGCACGAAGCAATTTGACTAGACACCAAAAGACAATCCACGAAGATCGCAGAGATTATGCTTGGGCAGCAATGTTCTTTGATGAGACACCAAAATACAGTTGAATGCGAGTAAAGACAAATGCGAGAAGAAATTTAGACAGAAATCGAGTTTGCACTTCCAACAAAGGACAGTCCATAAAGATTATTAAGATTTGGCCCACGAACACAATTAAAACAGTCCTTGAAAAAAGATTTTATGAATAATTCATTGATCATACGGATGTGAAACTTATTGCAATCATATCCTCTAAATAGTTTCTCAGAGAATAGTTAACACTTCATTAATGAAACAATAAAAAGAGCTGAACTTTTTTTGTGAATATACATATTGATACTTATGTAGTTATTTTTCTAAATCAGATCTAAATCAATCTGATGGCAGATTGATTATTTTTGCTGAGATAGAGACGCGATCGGTAATAACACATGTTCTGACCGAAATAAACAACTTGTAAATCATTTCATATTTTAATTCAACCTAAAGGATGTTTTCTATAAATTTCTTCAAGATTAGTAATGACTGTCATAATTATTTTCGAATTACTTGAGCGGCTAATCAAACTTTGCGTGATGGGCGACATTTTTATCATCCACCACTGTTCATATGGTCTAGCTTTAAAATTAATAATTTTTCCCAAAAAAAAAAAAAAACAAAATCTATTTAACAGATTATGCAGACACGCTTGACACGCAAAAAAGAAGTCTCAAAGTCTATACTGATATGGCTCATCGCTCGCGCATAAAGACCGGATAAATGAATGTTTAATTTTGTAAAAACCCGGGTACCATCCAGTGTAATTGTTTATAAGACCGATGTAACAAATTTTATTTTTTATATGAAAAATTCTCCCTGTGCAATGATACTTGATGGAATACTTAAAGATAAAATAACATCATAGCTAAGAAAATTAAAAAAAAATCATTTTTAGTTGAGAAAGAATCATATCATCGATAAATTTTGCATGAAATAAAAACTACTTGCAGGTAGCACAGTAGAAAATTCCACCAAATTTCATATCCCTGATCATAAAAATTTATACAAATCAGTGTTAATTGACAGAAGAAAATGAAGGAATTACACCATCAATCCCTGGACCGAAGCGCACTGTAAAAGAGCTAGTATTAATTATTTAGTCTTTAATATTTATTAGAAATGCATTTGAAATACAAAATTGTCGTAGATAACTATTTTATAACTCATAATAGTAAAGCTTCATTGACATATAGGATGTATGACTGACTAATGATAAAATTTATTTAGTCTAGTAGAAAGTTATACGAATATTTTAGCATCCAAGAAATGTTTGCGATGATTAACATAGTAAAAATAATTGATACTTCTTATTTAACAAAAAAAATCTCTTTTTTCATTAATGTACACCTTTACAGGATACTCCTTGGAAATGTAAAATACAGAGCATATGATTTTTAATCCATTTTACAAAATTATTTTTTAAGTTTATTTTCTAATTAATTATTCTGTAATGAAAAGGACCCGCTGTTCATCGACAAAAAAGATATATTACGTACGCAATATATCTATATATAGTACAGTATACAGACACCATGTATATAGTTATATTTGATAATAGAAACTCACGCGGCCAACGTCTTACCAACAATCGACATAATTCTGGCTTCTGCTGTTCAAAAGTAGTGCCGGAAAATGGCTTTCCGCGTTTTAAAAGCCTATAACTCTTTAACAAAAGTTGTGACAAATCATAAATTTACAGTCTATGGTGAATACAAATTATTTAATTTAGTGTTTATATAATGACAAATCGTAATGAAGAAGGAATTTCATACGATACGTGCATATAACCTCAATCTCAGATCCGAAAAAATATAATAAACATCATATTATTTTTCTGTTAAGAATTTAATAAATGTTCTTAATGACTTATAGGCACATCATCTAACGTGAATAAAGGATGTCTCAACGCCCTAGCTGTAAATTTACCTATCACCAGCATTACACGTTCTGCATCATTTTTTACTAAATGTCAGTAAATGAAGGGTTTATATGATTTCAATACCATTTAATTTGATAATTGTTCAAAAACTATTATTTTTCGTAGATTCTGCTGAAGCCTTATGGAAATCTGTGACAAGCGTCAGTAATGCAGGTAAACAAAGAGGTCGAGCTAGGCAAACTCGGGGTTTGCAAAGAAATTTAAACAGAGGACAGTATATCGGTGTTGGCAAAATTAATATGTTATGGCCTGGTTTGACTGGTCCAATCATGCGTGGTACAAATGTTGTTAAACAGCAAAGGTTACCAGATGATCCAGACAGGGAAAGTAAACTTTACAAAATAAGGGATTCGACAACAAGAGGCAAGAAAGTCAGAACTCATCCTCTGGAAAGAGGTTGGTCTGGTGCCAAAATAGGTGGTAGAAGTCTTGGACCACCAGATCCTGTAAACGATGGTACCTAATTTTTCTAAATTTTAAACAATTTGGATTATTTTTCATTAATTCTATAACATTGTATTTTATGTTTAGAAACATTTGAAGGATTTGATTCAAGAGTAATTGAACATAAAATTGTCAATCATATGACTGGTAATTTAGGACGTAAACGAGGTTACAGTTCATTAGTAGTTGTAGGTAATGGCAAAGGATTATTTGGATTTGCACTGGGTAGAGCTCCAGATGCAAAAGGTGCATTGAGATTAGGAAGAAATAGGGCTGGTATGAAATTGATGTATGTTCCTCTGTACAAAGATCATACAGGTAAATATTTTTAAAAATGTGATTATTTTGTTCATATATAGAGCCTAAATTAAATTTTTTGTTCAACAGTTTATCATGACTTCTATGCTCGATTTGGTAATACAAAAGTATTTGTATCTAAAAAACCTGAGGGTTATGGATTCACAGGTCATAGAGCCATAAAATGTGCATGCGATGTTATTGGAATCAAAGATCTCCATGCTGAAGTAGAAGGGGCTAATCGTTATTTACATATAATTAAAGCTTTTTTCATTGGATTACTAAAACAGGTATGGCTACCATATTTTGTTATTATAATTAAATTAAAAATGAATTTTTTTTATTAATAAAAAATAATATTTTATTTTTATCATAGAAAACGCATCAACAGCTCGCAGAAGAAAAAAAATTACATTTGGTTGAATTTAAGAAGGAGAATTTAAATTATCCAGAAGTAGTTGCGAGTCCAGGAACAGTTAGAAAATCTGAAGAAGTACCGTCTACCGAAACGCTTGATTTTGTACAATACGTGTTAGGAGGAAAAGTAATTTTGCAGAAGCCAGATCACCCTCCGTTCTATCATAAATACAGATCTTATAAATTGAGACGAACTAAAGATGAAATCATAAGAAATCATGACAAAGTCAGAATTAGATTGCTTGCTGAGTATGGAGAATTCAGAAGTCACCTTACTGATCGTTTCCCAGAAGCAAAACCATTCAAATGGAGTTATAAGATAAAGAGGGAAGCTGAAAGACTAAAGGCAGCAGAAGAAGAAGTGTATTAGTGTAAAAATTGTAAAAAATACATGTTTTTGTTATAATTAGTATTTCATTGCATGTTTTTCATGTTTTTCATGTTTTTCACGTTACCTAATTCTAAATACTAAGAAATCACTAAAACTAAAGTAATTGAATATCATTAAAAAAAAACGGGCAAATATTTTGAACGTAATTTTTTCCATTATCAAACCAGCAGAGAGTGCGTTAAAAATCTGAAGTTCAAATTCCGAAACAGCCGCGCAAGGATACCTGACCGCTTCTACATTAATTTCTCGAGCATATTGCGATTGTCGACGTAACGATACGAAGAATCGCGTCATTGGTTCGGGGTTTTCGTTACAACGAGTGTAGGTAAGCAACAACACGGGTCATCGAGTGCACGCGCAGATAAGCGGATTCTACTCTTTTAGGCTGCTGCACTGCCCCGAGACATGAGAATCATCATAGTCGAGATTCGAGACACCGAGCCTTGGCAAAGGATTACGTGCACCAAGCTGACGGTTAACTTTTCGAATTCTGTCAGTGGCTCGTTTTCGCGTAACGATCTTAAATTCGTATTGTTATTCGAACGAGCCATCGGTAAACGGCTTTCGGCGCGCTAAATCAAGGCAGCTGCCAAAAACTACCAAACACGACGACGGCAGCAGCACGTTACAGCGAGCATTAGAGAAACTACGCGAGATTCGCACTTCGCAGTCACGAAATAAATATATATATAGGTATATAGATACGCACGCGTACAGGCAGGTATATGCGAGAGAAAAGGGGGAAGCGAGAGAGGAGACTGGATCGCTGCTGCTGCTTATGTTCGTACGAGGCGAGCGAGAAAGATAGCGACTCATTGTGCGCGAACTCGCATGCGATTTGTGCGAGAGCGAGCGCGAGCCAGAAAGAGAGAGAGAGAGACAACACCACAGTCGGCCAGCCAGCCAGCAGCAGGCAGGCAGTTGTGCGAACTTTTTGGCATTCCAGAGGAACAGAGCGAGTGAAACAACCGACGAACACGTCGGAACTTGGCACACAGCACACACGCACACGCACGTTTCGCAGGACAGTGGGTGGCTGCTCGTTGTAAGACTACTATAATACCTCATTATTATACCTCTCTGTCTGTCTCTCACCACACATTTAAACAAACACAACTCGCTCACACTCACACACACACAGGCATACATATAATCTCTGTTTGTTCGTTGTTGTTACTGCGCTGTGTGCACTATCATCTACTGCTGCTGTGCAGAGCTACTGCTGATTCCTTGTACTACTACTGCCACTGCATCGGACAAGAAGTCAGAGAAGAAGAAACAACAAACCGTGTCTCGCCGAGAGGAGAGCTCGAGGAGAAAGCGCGCCAGACATCATCGCCGTTGGTAGCTCGCAACGGCACGCACCATTATCACTTGCGAAGAAAAACGCACGGAGAGAAAATTCATAACCGTCGAAAATTTTGCTTCGGTGCGCGAAGCGAAAGCTCGAGACAGCAGCAGCCGCGGCACCAGCAGCGCAGCTCGTCTAGGTGTGCGCAAACGGAGAATCATCATTCGACGACGATCATCGTCGTTTTATCCATCGACGACGACCTCGAGGCATCCGCTAATTCGCGTCGCATGGGTTAAATGCTCTGGCGAAGATGGCCGATGACGATCCCCGGCAGCTCAAGGAGGATGGCTTCCTCAGCGTTGACGCCCCGTGCAGACAGATCGTTTACCACCCGAGTCTGAACGTCCTCCTCATCACCACTGCCAGCAATCAACTCGTCGTCTTCGATGTCAGCTCCGGTCTTATTTTGCAACAGACCGAGTCGGCCGGTAAGTGAAAAAAAAAAAAAAAAGAAAGGAACCTTCAATGAGATCGCGCAAGCAAATTTTCCTAAGTAGTAGTCCCTTTTATCAGCGCCAATTGACCCAGAGGCGCGTGCTGCTGCACACACACACACACACACATGCACATGTCCATACGTGCACGCGTGTTTCGCGAATCTTTTCACCATGTTTGCAATATTCTCGTCGTCATCTGGCATCCTTATTGTCTCGTCACATGATCTATATATGCTATGTGTCGACCGAAAAATTATGTCATTCGCTCGAGCTTATAAAAACACTTGCTCTGTCTCTCTCGCGTGTCTACACTTTATTTTTTTATTCACGCGAAAGTGACGTTGACGATGTGTATGCTGCATTTTTATTGCGTATATCTCACGCACACTGCTGTTTCGCACGTGCCTCGAGCGTCCAGTTTTTCCGACTCGAAGCGCGACAAATTAATATCTAGCAATTATTTGTACAAATCGCGTGTATATTATGCGCGACGAACACACCGGAATGTCGATGAATGTCTTTCGAATCAACAACGCCATTGATTGTTTACTTGTTGTCAAAAGATCGATTATGAACGGACCTAGTCTTAGTTTGATTTCACGCTTCTTGATTCATGATTTTAATTTTCATTTAGAAAGTTAAATTTATTACTTTCTTAAAAAGAATTTTCTTATTTAAAAAAGAAAAAATACATTGTTTATCAATACCCATGCAATTTAAGCTGTGAAAGTTTATTCTTAGAACATACTGATAAGAAACTTATCAATCTTGATTAGTGTTTTATAAATAAAATTAAACATATTTTTGGTTGTAGTAGAACAATAAATGTTGCTTACTGAATTATAAATTGGTGAATTTTTTTTCTAGGAAATTATGATGGAAAATTCAAGGGCGTTCACTTGGGAGGGGTTGACAAAATTTTGTACACTGATGGAAAAAGCATTGGTGTCAGAGGAGATTATAATGGTGTCTTACTCCTGGATACACTTTTACAAACTCCTCTATCTAAAGGAGAAGATATCGTTAAGTTGGAAATGTTGCGTTCAGAAGCTTTAATATTATATCATCATTTGTTACAATCAAAACTTGTTACAATAGATCATGTAACAGAAGTGTTGAATGAGTTGAACAAAAAAATCACTGCTGAAAAAGCAGCTAGGAATAAAGTAATTAAAGCTCAAAAGGTACCATTTAATTATAACATTTTTAAATTTGACTACTGGAACAATTCAATTTTAAAATCTAATTTCGATTTTTTTCAGTGGTCCACAATATGTGTAGAACTGCCACACACTGCACTAAAACTTGTGTGTTCGACTTTGGTAGTAGACCTTAAAAAACAAAACAAGCATATACCTGTTTTACCAATTGCTTCTGCAATTAATGAAAGACTCAATAGTCTATTACCGTCTTCGATTCCTTTAGATCCTGGAACTAATGGAAAAGTATTAATGTACAGTGAAGCAGCTCGCAGAGATACTTTTTTTAAATGGCCTCACATGAATTACAAGTAAAAATTTCATTCTTTTCAATATCCACTTTAATAATTATGAATATGACCTAATGATTGGTTTTTCTTCTAGATGGGCTTTACCAGATCAAATGGCTCAAGCTGGATTTTACCACCAACCAAACACTACAGGGGAAGACAGAGCAATGTGTTTTACATGTAGTGTTTGCTTAGTGTGTTGGGAACCCACAGATGAGCCCTGGTCTGAGCACGAAAGGCATTCACCATCTTGTCCATTTGTTAAGGGCGAATATACACAAAATGTACCATTATCTGTTACACTAGCCACAGCACCAGCTGTTTTTGTTAATGAAAATGTGGATGTTATTGGCTCAACAAACATTAAAACGCTCATTGCTACATCATCTCAAGGAGGGTTTATCAATGTTTGGAATGTTCAGAATAATTTGAAGGTAAACTTGAAATTTTGTAGATTTTTTATCTATAAAGTTTTTAAATCATTTCTTTTTTAAATGTATCATTATTATTTCCAATTACAGAAGGAGGCCCACTTTTATTTGACTGCTTGTAGTATTTCTTCGAGTAATAATGGTTGGTACGATTTCAGTGCAACGAAAACTCTTCCATCTTTAAGTTCTGGATTTTTACCCAACCCTCATGATACAGAAGCACTGTCAGATGATTACAAACCTAGTACCAGTACATGTTTAAATCCTAAAACTCAGCTGACAGCACTTGCATTAGTGAATGGTTTAAAATCAACAACAAATGACAAAGGCAAAAGTCAAGATCAAAATGAAAGTAGCACTTTAGCAGATTCATTTAAATCCAAACCATGTCTTGTCAGTGGTGTTTCTGTGAGCTCTAGATGTGTTCCTAGTATTAATGTTGTATGGTCATCTACATCTAATATTGCTTCATCATCATCTCTAGTTCATGCTATGAATAGTGCTAATAGTGCAGCAAGTGAAATGAACAGTCTTGACATTATGAAAGTTGCCACAAGTGAAGCTGCAAGTAAAGACTTGTCTACTACTACACACTATCTTGTAGTTTGTGATTTCGATCATAAATCCAACTCTTTAGAGTCTGTAAGTAAAGATAGTTCAAAAGACAGTTCGGGAAAGAGCAAAAAACAAATTTCTGGAACTGGTACAAGTGCTAGTTCAAATGGAGTGAGACAAGAAACTCTATATCAAGAAATATTTTTTAGTAAATTTTTGCTTGACGAAATTAATGAAGAAACGGAAATGAATACTAGTGACCAACTAGGAATGTATCCTACTGTACCTCTAGTTCCTCCAGTCTATTATAGCAATAACACCAATCCACCATCTAGTTCATTTGATACTAATTCAAATCCCATTGGTTCTTTTGTATCTGAACACGTTGCATCTACATCTGCAATTGAAAAAGCTTGGAGAGCATTAGATGTGAAAAAGTCCAACAATGCCAAACCAATTGTCATACAAACTTTGCGGGTCGAGGGTCATGGAGCATTAAGGATAAACAATATTTTGCCTACAAAGGATGGTAAACATTTAGTGGTTACTATGTGCCCTCAAGAAGAAGAGTCTGTAGATGACTTGATCACCAATACATTTCACATGGAAGTTGACGAGGATGGTAAGATTAGTTCATCAATTATTATTTTTAAAAATATTCATCGCATTATTTATTAATAATTATTAAAAAATATTTATATTTACGTAAAATTATACTAACAGGTAGTCCTAAAAATCCAATGAATTGGGATTCTACAGAAAATCCTGAAGAGCCTCCGGAAAAACCATTGCCAAATGGTGTATTTACTCATGCAGAAGATGAGGAACTTCCAAATGCTTTAATCATTATTTACGCTTTGGATTTTTCTGGTAAAGTTGTAAGATTAGCTCCTGAACCGATTTTGAGACGAGAATTGCCGCCAAGTCAATCGCCAAAAGAATGCGTACTTATACCAATATCTGAGAGCGATTCAAGTTTTGGTACAAGTATGTTAAATGCACCAAGTACTGAAGATGTATTACGAGGACAAATGGCTGTAGTATGTCGAGATGGAATTATTCGATTGTTGGATCTTGCTAGTCTTAAAACAATTACTGAAACAAACTCTGAAGATCAAAATCAAAAGTTTATATCAGCTGCTTATTGTAGTCGTGAGTGCCCATTAATAAACTTAAATTTATTCTATTTTACGTGAAAAAGAACATAAGAAATTAAAAAAAATTTCTTCAATGATAATTTTAGGATTGGATAAACTTTGTGCGTGTACTAAAGACGGTGCACTTCATTTTTTTAATATAACAAATGAAGATGAGTCTTCCGAAGATAAAGATTCTGTAACTTCTGACATGATTGTTGATGCAAACAGTGATGAAAATGAATTGAATACTCCAAGTACTTCTAGGTCATCTAACATTAATTCGTAAGTAAAAAGTGACGAGTCTAATTGTTTTATTTCTTCAATTTGTTTGTTTTTATTTAGTTGCACGAAAAACTGACATTCCTGAAAATTGGTACTTAATTTTCATTTTATATTTTTTCAGAGAACTTATGCTAGCAAACAAGCAAAATTTATCACATGCTGATCTTCAAATGCTCTATGGTCTGACAAGATTTGACTGGCATTCACCTGCATATGGAGCTAATGTACCACCTTGTTGGAGTGAAATGATGCAAGCCCAACGCCAACGTCGGTATCCCCAACATCTTCATCAGCAGGAGGACCAACATCACACACGAACATGGCGATTACAGAGTGACGGGTAAGTTTTTATTAGAATGAGAATGTTGAAAACATCAAAATCTAAACCACAATTAAATAATAAAAATTTTAAAAACTTCTAGTACATCTTGGGATGACCATTTATTTGAACTCACACTGCCACGAAATGCAGCTGGAAATGTTGGTCACGTTGATGTTCGTTTTACTTTACATTATCCATGTCACGATCTTCCAAACATTCAAGTGACACTGTACAAACAAAATGTAAACAGTATTGTTAACAAAAAAAAAGGTTTGGCTGTACAGGTTGATGAGGGAATCGATATCAATAAATATTGCACCGACCCTACAAGCGAAAATCCTGATACTTCAGAAGATGTGGGAAAAGTCGCAAATATGGAAATTTTGAGTGGTCCTATAAATCTTAAGAATTGCATGGATTTATCTGATCATTCGGGCTGTATAACTCTCACCAGTCCAAAATTGTTCAAAACTAAAGCCAAAACACTTATTGTTCATATTAAAGCATGCAATGATTCTTTGAAAGAAGGAACATCAAAATCTCAAACTAGTTTTTTGGAATCGAAGCCGCCGACTTCTAAAAAATTGAGAATAGATGAAACCGGTCCACTTCCGCCGGGTGCGACCATAGAAAGAGTTTCCAGTAAGAAATCAGAGAATCATATTGGTTGTGACTGGATTCATGAAATTTCCATTACGGTTAGAACTGTACATCCTACATCTATTCCTAATGAAAAATTGCAGAGGTGTGCTATGTTGGAATCCAAACGTTTTATTGAAAATTTGTTGAATATTGCTTGCTTAGAAACATCTGATAAGTAAGTGAATTAACATCTTCAAATTCAATTCATCGATTTGAATTTATTAATTTTTTGAAAATCGATCGTTTTAGGTCACCAGTTGTACAGTCATTAGCCTTGGATATATTAGTATGGGTTGCTGCAATACGACTGACTAGATACAATTCTCCTTCTAATACAAAAGTCCGAACATTCCAGTTGGAAATGATCCATTGTGTTGAGAAAAGTCTACCTGCATTGTTACGTAGTTGTATTTTGGATGCTGGCCGAAGTATCGCGCACAAGTGTATTAAGTTAATTATATTGTGTCTTGAGTAAGTTATTATTTATTTTTGAAATTTTTTTTAGCATTATAATTATTAAATTATTGAAATTTTTAGGGACGTTAATAATTTAGAAGATATGGCGCCTCGTACATTTGAAGATAGTCTGTTATCAGTTTTAGAGTCTATATTACCTAATATAGTAAGCATTAAATGGGCTGGCTCTTTAAGATGGTTTTCTGTACTTTTGACAAAACTGTTGACATTTGATAGAAGTCATAAAGTTGCTCATCAGTGCATCAAACTTATTCAAGACATATCTTCAGAAATGTCAAAACGAGTTGATCCTTATCACTTATTACTTGCAACAAGGTATAAAAAAATGCTGTAAAAATATTTCACTAGGGAATGTCTTTTATCGTTTTTAACAAAATGTTTTATGACTTTTTTAGATTTGGGTTGTACAACTCGCCATTTGAAACTGAATTATTTGAATTGGATCCACCCTTCTCGATGAAGCCAAATTCTTTATCTACAGTTTGTAGTAATATTTATACTTTCAATGGAGATTCAATACCGTTATCTCAAATCTCTTTACAATCAACACATTTGCAAGATTCCATTGATTTGAGGGATTTACTATCCTTACCCTTACATTCTGCTAATGATTTAGTTGTACCGAGCAAATTAAAATCACTCTGCAATAACCACACTATGAGGGGGCTTCTGGAGGTAATTATTGCCAACAATTTTATATTTATTAATCCAATTTCAAATTTAAATGAGATGTGTGAATTACAGGTTGAGCCTCTTCATTTCACTTGTCACGCAGCGTCCGATGGTACAAAACTGGAAAAAGTGGATGCTTTTGTACCCACAGTTTCTACCATAAATTCTGGTGTATTGTACGATTCAGCAGCGCCTACAACAGCAAATGCTACATCTGACACCAAAACAATTCATCATGCATACGTAAGTTCAAAAACATTTCATTTTTATCGAGTAATATCATTCATGGTACTGTTTCCTCGTGAGCATGGTGTTTGTTTTTATTAAATTAACTTGAATACTTATTGATGGGGTGCTTTGATAACGTATGATAGCTTTCAATAATACATCATAAGCGTGCGTAGTTACATATATCGAAAAATACGGTACAAAAAACAAATCACTTATTAAAAATTGACCGAGAAATAAGCAACGGAAAAAGAGATTATCACTCGTGGCACCCACTCACTGATGCAAGGTTCCTTGTAACATTGTAGAACTTTGATGCTGCTACTTTGGGTCCGGATCTTCAAGCAAAACTAACAACCAAACTTACGGATTTTCTGAGCCAATGTGTAAAAAATGTGCACAAACCGTCTACATTCGAATCATTTTCGAAGAAAAATCATGATTATCACACATATTCGTTAGAAGATCAGTCGGATAGCGATGAAATCAACATTCATAGTCAATTAGGAACTACTCACATCTGGAGTGTTTACAGTGACAAACCATCTCAATTGTCGACTGTACCTAAAAGCGTCAAGTCTCCATTAATCTCTAACGTTGTTTCTACAGCCTCTACTTCTGCAACCACTAGCAAACTTAAAGATGCAAGTGCTAAAAAGGTCAGAAATAAAGGCGAAGCACTGTAGTAATTTTTATGTAACGTTACTGGACATTTTTATAATTGTATTACGCTCGAGCTTATTATTTGATAAAATCATTAATTAATTTTGTTATGTCTATCGCGGTTTATGAGTGGTTTCACTGTATTATTCATTGTTTATATGTGAATGTATGGGTAATCTTATTTATTTTTTTCATTCGATATTTTATGCTCCAAGTACTTAAAATTATTTTTCTCAGTAATTTTGTAGATGAATTGATTTTACTAATTTTCTCAGCTTTACATAAAACGATTTATTTTACCTATCAAAATTTTAATTTAAATGAAACTTTCATTTTAAAATTTACTTTCCAGAAAGAGGATATTAATTTCCCATGGGGACGACTACTGTGTTGGCCACCGCAGCAAGCTTTGGTAGTAGAAAGAATGCATTCGGGAGCAAGAAGATTCGTTATTTTAGATTTCGGTGCTCCAGTGTTGCTTACCGATTTTATGATACCTGCGTGTAACGACTTGGTTTCCCTATCAATTGATGTATGGACTAAAAGTGAAGAAGCAGACGGTGTGAGACTTGTAGTAGCAGGTGACATAGGTACTAAACCATTGGCTGTAAATGATCTCCAACCACCACCAGTATGCAGATACTTGAAGGTAAAATTCTGGATTTTTTTTTCTATTTCCAGTAAAAATAGGCTTGAATCTTTTTTTTTTCTCTTATACATCATCATATTTCAAACCAAAATTTTTCGCTCATTTGATTTATATAGATAACGACAATCGGAAGATATGGCATGTCTACGACAAGATGTAAAATACCTTTAGGAACGTTTAACGGACACATGATTGTGCTACCGGGAGAAGATTATGCCGAACAAGTTAATGTTTCCAAAAATTATTCAGAATTGCCGTTACGGAACAACATTGAGTCACAGTGTACAGTTTTATCTGCCTTAGCTGAAGACGTACATTGCAGGTATGTATTCAATTTATTGATGCAAATTAATTTTTTATCTTAAATAATAATATTTTATTGTTCTGTAGATTTACATTAGCGACTGAAAGATTGAAAAGCTATCTAGACCCATTACTATGTGCCGAAACAGCTAATGTGTTACACATGCAATATTACTTGAGTCAAGGTAAACACTTTGAAACCAGACAAGACGGACCCTCGGGAAAAATTTTAACAACGTATCAAGAGTGTGTAATGTATCAACACCAACTTAACATAATAAGAAGTGTTTGGCAAAGGTTAGAGAATTGGAGAAATCCCGAGAACTCAACATCAAATACTCTTGCTAATGCATCCACCGACAAATTGAGGATTCTCGGTGAAACCCTTTTAGACATACTTTTGTATACTATCTATGAAATTGGCCCTATTCCTTCCGTAAGTATTTTCTATTTACAAATTATAACTTATATAAATTATATTTCCTATCATGCAATTCTTCTTCAGGTACCAGCTACGCTGTACGATGCTTTCACACCTTCAGTTTGTGAACAGTTATTCAATTCTATATGCGTTATGACGCCTGCACCACATTTACAACTTTATGTCGTGGCTTTATTAGCCAAAGCAGCTGGGCATAAGGATTGGTGGGGTCAATTCCTTGCTAATACTTTAGTCAATCTTTATTCAGTGTCCTCTATACACATTTTTCCTCAAGACCGGTAAGTTTACTTTAAAAGTAATTTAACATTATTCGACTTTTGTGCTCATGATATATTATAAATTAAAAAATTGATAATTGATTGCAGAGTTTTCATATTACTAACATTCTTGGGGCGAAAGTCTTTGATTACTTGTAATAATAAATCATTAGTAATTGACGCCATGGTTTCTACTCTTGGAAAATTGTTGACACCTCTATCATCAACACAACCAAACGGTTCTAATAGGTTGGATAGCAGTTTAATTGGATGGGTATTACTGTTTTTGTCAGTGTGTTTAGATACAACAGCTATTCATTCGTCTCCTGCAGAAGAAAATCAAGATAAAATGAAAGAGCAACAAGGTATTGTTTTATTCTATTTTAGTCATTAATAAGTATTCTTAAGTATTTAAACAATTTGCAATTTTTAAATTTCATTAGGAATTTCGAGTCGATGGGAATTCATTCAAGGTGAAGTAGCTATGCAGAAAAAATTTGTAGGATCAGGTAGAAATTCTGCTTCGCGGAATTATCGTAAAAAGTTACAGAAGCGCCTTATGCATCATAAACAAGTTTTGCAAGATGCTGAAGCAAAAAAGTATCATCCTTCCTCGTCGCAGGTAATTTTACGATTTAATTTTATTTCTTTTGCTTTTTATGTTTGGTATTTTTGAGTTAAAAATCTTTTTTGATATATTTTCCAAAGGCTACACTTTTTATGCAGACTGCCAGCTTATCATCTAAACTCGAAGCAGCAATCAAAAATCAAGAGAAAATGCAGAAAAAGCAAACAAAACAACATTCTTCTTCAACCAAACATTTTAAGGACATATTTGGTATAAGAAGGCATGAATGCCATTTTAACAGAGTTCCTAAAGCTGCATCAACATCCAGCGCAAGGTATGGAAACTATTCTTTTTATTTTATTTAAAATTGGTTCAATTTATTATCTAATTTTTAATTCACTGCAGTCGTTATCAATTTTAAATATATTTTTATATACTAAGCAACATTCAAAGATATTTTCGTTTTTACATTCTAGTCAATCATCAGAGCCTATGGATTCAGATGGAGGCGACAATTCTAGAAATTTATCATATCAAACTATTTTACCTGTAGCACGTGATTTGGTATCTTTGCTTTTAAACAATTCATCTAATGTTGATATGTTCCTTCTGACTTGCAAAGTAAGTATTTTTTTTTATTTGCAATTTTATTCAAGCCAAATACTATTAAAAATATCAATAATTTCGACCTTTTATTATTTCAATCAATCTAGGTTATTGCAAAATTAGTAATATCAACTCAGCCTGTTATAACATTAGGAGAACTCATGACGCAGGATCAACTTTTTAAATTAATGAAATTAGCTACTAAAACATCTGATATTGCTTGGTTATCCCACGCTGTATCGTGTTTATTACAAGATCTGTTAGAAGGTATTTTTTCAATAAATAATTCTAATATCTTCAATCTAAATTTATAAATATTAAAATGATTAATTTTCAGGTGAAAAATTGTATCCACGAAATGTCACAACTCATGAGTCCATAATAGATCAGGTCTTTGAAACGATACCTGTTGATGATATTAATATAAACATTGAGGAAAGTTACATGAATGAGCGTGCGTCTACTGCTATGCTAGGTTCTAAATTCAAAAATGATGAATCCTTTCACGACGAAGACGAAGATACTCAAGATAGCATTATTATTACACCAAATCCATCTACAAAGATAAATGCTTTCAATCTTCCATCGTTGCTCGAGTCTGATGATAGTGAATTTGAAGAATTTTTAGATAACATTTTAGAAAGAGGCAAAACTATTTTGAAAAAAGGTGGTACGAGCTCGAAGTATTCTACTATCACGAACTTTGGGTACGCTTTTATTTATCAAGTAATAATTTTTATTATTTTGTTCTATTTAATTGATTCATTATTATAATTTTCCAAGTAGTATTTCACAAGCAATTGATGCGAGATTAGAATATGGAGTAGAAACTGGCGTGGCTATTGCTCTTCGCAGACTTTCTACTTTGGGCAAATATAATTTACCTATTGGTATAAATGCTACGATTAATGTAAGTAAATTTATTATACTTTTAAAGGCACTCGATTGTTATGTAAAAAATAATTCATTACATTTTTCATATTTTTACAGCCACCGAAGTATACTTACAATAGTGGTAATTATGGAACGAGAAATGTAACAGATTCTCCGCCATCTAGTTTACTTATGTTAACAAGATGTTTTGATAAAATATTTTGTGAACGTCATGTACAGGTTGGTCCATGGATAAAATGTATATAATCATAAACGGAGATGTAAACTTATGGGTATTTTATTCTTTAGAGCTCAGGAAATTTGGAGACACTTTTACAATTATGGTTAACATTGAATCTTGATGCATCGAGTGATGCATCGAATTCGTCTCAGTATTCAATGCAACCAGTAATTCCATTGAGTGCAAATGCAATTAGTGGATTAATTTCTGCATTTTCATGGCACCCTGGTGTATCTTTGCGTGCTTGGTGCTATCTGTTGCAAACTTTAACTTTGGCTAGTAATCAAGCAATGAAGTCTGAGCTTAATGAAGCTGCTAGTTGCAGTGCTTCACTGGACGGATTATTGGGTGGAATGGCTAGCGTTATTGTAAAAGAAAAAAATATGGGTGCCATGCTTCTTCGGTTATTGTCTGGAAACGGTTTGAATATTGATTCGGCCAATAAACATTTTGGAATGGTGAGTATTCAAATTATAAACTTTTGGAATTAATGTTGTACTGCCCTAAAAAATTATATGCATAATTCTTTTCTCAAATTTTCCTTAGGCTGGTCCGACTTTGTGCCAAGCTCTACAAGAATTCCTTTCAAGACTAGCCATGCGTTGTGATATTGTCGCACCTGGTAGTTCGTTAGGAAATTCAATGAAAGAGCTTTTGTTATGGGTTGTGTACCAATTAGTCCAACCTGGTGGAGCATTGGTTGCAAGACGTGGACCGCTCGATGCACAATGCAGATTAATCAACTCGTTACTAAATATGAATTTCAACAACACCGATTTAGGCACGGCCATGAGTATAACCGAGTGCGTCGGAGAATTAGTTTCGAACCACGTTAGAGGAGTTAGAGGTATTGAAAGAATAATAACTCATTCATATGAATCGATTTCTAAATAATTATTATGTATAGTGGGAGCACAATGTGGTAGTACGGCTGAAGCTTCAAGTCAACTTGCTGGCTTCGGCGGACTTTACACTTGCGTTTTGGGAAATGATTCAAAGCAGAGTAAACCAGCTTCATGGGATGCACTGGTTGTAGCCCTTTTAAAACTTGTATGCAGACTTGTACAAACTCCATTAGCTCCTGTAAGTAGATAATACAAGATGCATATCCAGATCCAATCATATTATATTAACAATATCATATTTTTGTAGAATCCAACAGCACAAGATGCAGGTACCGAAATGGAAGTCGGAGAATCATATAGCACAACCTCTAGTCAATCAGATATACCAGAAAAAATGAATACATCGCAAACTGATGAAAGTAAAGCTGCTGAAAAACAATCTTCAACGCGCCCACCGGTTTCGGAAACACCTCGAGTTCCCTGCATTGCCGATACTGGTATATAGTCACGTACATTTAATTAGATAATCTTTTCAATATAATGATTCGTCATTGGTATTTTAGTACTTCAACATGAACCAACAATGATGCGTCTTATGGGAGCACTGGCACATTGCTCTAAAACTGCGTGGTCTCCTTCGAAAGTTCAATCGTCGAGCCCGAATAATGCAACGGCTGAAACAAACAATACTCCACCAACCATTATCGATGCTACTTTCCAATTATTGGTTTTGTTGGTGAAAAAAACTAGTAACCCTAAACTAGTATTGGGTCCGGTTTACATATATCTTGCATCTTGTACGTTTTTAATTTCGTAAAATTTTACTGAAAAGAATGAATCGACAATTATAAAGTTATTTTTATTGCAGCTACTATCCAAAATGTTGCTGATGGTCTTGGAGATATGATGGGTTTATCGGAGCCTTTGCTTAGTTTTATTTTACGAGCTTTAGACAACGAGGAATGTTTATCCCATTTCACGACCATGGGTGGTATCAGAATTCTATGTGAAAATCTTGTAATGTCAAGCAAAAATTATGTAACCAATAGTTCAAATGCACCTGGAGTGATAGCTCTGGTCATGCAACATTTATCGAATGCTTCGAATATTCATAATGTTGTGACAACGAATGGTGGCAATAAAAAGTCCTGCACCAGTTTAGAGCCTGAAGAAGTCTTGATGAATTTTGCACCTTTGGGTACAGTGACTTGGCTTCATCCCACTGCTCAAGCAGCCGACGTTCTTATTCAAAGTGCAACCCCTCACAGAAGAGCTAGAACTGCTGCATGGTCATATCATTTCTATCCTGATGAGAGCTGGATTGATCTTACAATAACTCTTCCTTGCGCTATTTTGTTGAAAGAAGTAGAGTTGCAACCGCATTTAACTTCACTTGCAAGTAAATATCTTCTCTTATTTAATATTTAATATTTTTTATTTTTTATTTTTCGGTTTTAATTATAATTATTATACTATGTACTATGAGATGGTGTTATTCCAGCATGCCCATCAGCCGTAGCTCTTGAAATATCTCGCGAGGGAAACACTGCCCTAGCTCCGATTTGTCCGCCAATGCCAACGGCTGGTCTAACTTTCATACGTTTAACGTTGTCACAGCCAGAGGTAGCGACGGCCGTTCTAGTAAGACTGTACAAACCTCGTGATTCAACAAATATAAGTCTGAGTCAAATTCGTCTTTTGGGCATAACTGCCTTCGGCAATTCTAAAACACGCGACAATGTCGACGTAGAGAAAGTTTCTAAATCAAGGTAATGCAAATAATGCACTATATTAAAATTAAAATTACTCTTAAAATGGTTAACATGAATTATATTTATATGCATTACAGTATCGGCTGGTTGAGACTAATACATCAGTGCTTGTCTCTAAGTTCATCAAACAGCCAACTATCAGAAAAAATATTGAAAGCCGCTTCTATGGTGGAAGGCTTGATAGAATCTTTCTGCGATCTTCTTTTCCTTCCTGCCCCATCATTCTATTTCCCTAACTTGGAAAAAGTTTTACTTCAGTTAGGTTTACACTCAGGAGAACTTGGATTAAAATTAATAAATTTAATGTTGAGTAATAGAACGGCACCGCTTTTGCAAAACACTTTATACAATAAAGAGTCTTGTCCGGTGCAAATGGTCGTAGAGTTACTGGAACAATTATGTTCAGCTCAAGATCAAAACACTAAGCATCGAATGGCAGCTGTTCTTGACTGGCTTCATACTGTTGCGGTAACATCTGTCATGAGAAATGCTGGCACCAACTTACCAGGTATCTCTAATACTGTATCACCCCCAGCAGTATACGTTCACTCAATTTCTACAATTATTTGGAAAACTGCTAAGATTGAAAACATAAACTATGATTTAAAAGAACTTCTCGCTGAAGATTTGTTTGAGTAAGTTGTATTCAGTTCGTTAACTCATATTTAACTATTCATAGATAATACATGTTGTATTTATTAATTTTTATTTTAGTGCTTTGTACCAATGGACTTTGACCCTGAAAACACATTCTGCGCTGAAACAATCTATTGACGCGGTTTTATGTGCTTTTTGTTACGTAAATCCAAACTTCTTCCAGTTACTACTGCAAAAAATACAAATAGCTGTACCAAATCTCACCAGTGGCAGTCGGTATAGTGCTTCTATTTCAGATGATCATAAGCAAAGCGAAGGGCAGACAGATGATGGGAAATGCGTCGACTTGAATGATTTATATGCTCGACTAGCACAATCTGAATTTAAGCGTCTATCGCTGACAGAAGGTCAACTATTATCTATAGCTTCAGCTGCTAGGTCTTCACCTGGAGTATGTCAGCTGATTAATTCGGGATTACCAACTTTATTAACTGCGTGCATAATAGAGTTTACAATTTTGGAACGATCACAGCAGACTCTACAGCAGAAACATCATGATGAAGTTGATATGGTAAAATTTTATTTTTATTTAAAAAATGTCTTGCTATATAAATCTATAAGTAACTGATTTTTTGTAGGCCGAAGCTGACTTAGGACCTTCTACTTCAACTGCTAATCATACGATGAATAGCAGTCGAAGTGTAACAGATAGTGACAAAGTTCGTAACGTGAAATTAGATAAGAGCGTCAGTGAATTGGATATGACTGATCCAGAAAGTATTGCCATAGTTCTCGAATTTTTGACTTTGGTTTGCTCTGAGAGTAAAATGCGAGATTGGCTTGGCTCAAAAGGTAGCGCATTTTGGTTGCCATTGTTACAGTTACTTTGCGAGAGACAAGTTGATTACCCAACAGCATCAACTGCAAGTTCCTCAAATTTAAACTTGTCTTACACTAAATTGGAAAGCGCTATTATCAAATTTTTATCAAAATGTTGTTGGTATCATGAAGCTAATCAAAACTTACTCGCTGAACTTTTGACACAAGTAATTGTTCAACAAAAAATACCATCAGGTAATGTTCAATTCAATCCAATTTCAATAATTTTTACAATTCTCTATAACTAAATTTATAATCATGAATACTTTAGGTGCTAGAGGATTACATGGTATTTCAGGTTTCATAAGGCGTTTGATTTTACAACTTCTACTCGAAGGCGAAAAGATCTTGGTATCAATTACATCTGATATTCCTATGTCACTGGTGCCTAGCAGTATTAGTACTATTCCTGTAATGCCACCACATCCAGCATTTCCTATTGGGCATTATCATCATTTGTTATACTTGTCTACGCAATCAACATTAAGTGATATTGCCGATAAACTCATAGGTAAGACTTTTATTTAAGTGCTCGTAGAACGATGGAAAATGTTCATTTACTTGCCTTTTGCACTTCATTTGTTAACTTTTCGATATGCTTCATCCAATTGAGTCTCGCATGAAGCGTATAGTTTGCGATGGCTTAATAATTATAAAAACTGTTAACGCTCTAATACGATAAAATAATATTTTAAAGAATAGCTTTCACTTTTCCGTCGAAAACATTGAACATTTTTTTTTAATAATTTTACAATATGAAATTAGGCGGTCGTCAAACTCGTGATCAATGGGCTGCCTGCTTGAGCGAAATTATGGATACCCTAAAAAAGAACAAGAAAACTAAAGATGCTTCGAATAGGTCACAAGCACGGGGACAACCGCCTTGTACAGGTCCAATGCGCACGAATAGAGGTACTTATACCAATAAAACAGTAAATCTCATGTATGCTATTCTATTCATTCGCGTTCCAAATTTTTCGGTCAATCGAGTAATGGAACATTTTCAAAAGTGATAGTTCATACTCATGTTTTAAACTTTGTTTTACATGGTGTATTTTTTACAGAAGAACCAGCATTCCCAGCTAAAGAATCAAATTTGAATCCAGCAACTCTTATAAGTGCGCATAAATTGAGACTTGCACCAAATGTTGGACCAAATGTTGTGTTGCAACCTGACCTTTCAATAGCTCAACTTTTAGCATTTATCAAAGAAAATGGAAATTCATTTGCAGAGCCCTGCCTTTATCTTTGCATAGACCAACGAAATACGTCAGTAAACAAAGGTAAAGTATCAACGCTGAAATTATTTGATTTTAATATTATCAATGAATAAGTACAATGTAACGTTTTTTTAGAAGAACAAATGAAATTTAACGCGACGATTCAATGGCCTAGTATCAGTAGTACATTAGAAGTTTTCAGTTCAAAAGGAGGGCTGGCTGTGCTTGCACAGTATTTGCCTCTTGTTTATCCCGATACAAGCAGACCAGTAACATATTTTGAAAAATCACCCAATCAAGAAGCGGCAACGGAAGCGGATTGGGTTAAAATTGAGCCTATTTCATCTGAAGCCAATGAATCTGCTTACGAAGAGATGGACGAAAGTAGAACGGAGACTATTCCAAAACCTATTGTCCCAACTCCGCAAGTGCCTCCACATTCACTGGCAGCTTTTGGTTTATTCCTTCGACTTCCGGGTTATTCTGAGGTTCTTTTGCGTGATCGTAAGCGTGCGCAATGTTTGCTGCGATTAGCTCTCGGCGTGGGTGACGACGGTGAAGGCAGAGATATTTTGAGCTCGCCCATAGCATCTTCATTACCAACTTTACCGTTCCATGTGCTCAGACGATTGTTCCACGACACTCCCCCTACCACGGATGATGGACTCCTTCTCCGCAGAAGTGCAGTAGAAGTGGGAGCTGTTCTTTTGCTTCTTAATTGTCTTGCAGTTTTTACTCACCAGACAAGTAGCATTGATGGTAAGTTATCACAGTTTTAAATATACCGTAGTAATTAATATTAAAATCATCAAAATTTAATGATATTCAACAGGATCAGAACAAAGAAGTTCCCAAACGGGTGGTCGAAGCGATGATAAGTCACATTTGTATTGGGCCAAAGGAACAGGTTTTGGTACCGGCTCAACTCAGCAATCATGGAATGTTGAACAAGCTCTCAATCGCCAACGTTCGGAAGAAGAACACGTCACAGTATTACTGCAAGTTCTTGCGAGTTACATTGGATCTGGAGAACAGCCCCAAAGAGAACTACCTAGTGCATTCACAGAGCTTTTATCGCGTTCTTGTCTTTTGCCGGCTCTCTCGTCATATCTACGCAACGATTCTGTTCTTGATATGGCTCGGCATATACCGCTTTATCGAGCTATTTTACATCTCTTGAGAGCTATGGCTAATTCGAGTCAATTAGCAATGCTATTGCTACCACAAACTGGACGATCGAATGATCCTTCCATTCTTTCTTTATTAACGAACATGCGACAATGTGTTGACAATTACGTTAATAAAATCAATCGAGCAAAAGCTCTTGGCACTTCTAAAGGAAAATCCGTTCCCAAATTTTTGGAGGAGAGCGATCAAGACGAAGGTTTAGCCTTGCTGATACCAGATATACAAAATAGTGCAAGTATTGTTCAAGATGCAACTGCTAAATTAGTTGAAGCGAGTGAAGATGTTGCAGGGCCAGCTTCATCGGGGCCCGAAATGCCACTCAGATCCATTGAGCAACGATACCTCGAAGTTATGAAAAAGCTTCAATTTGGTAAATATTCGTTTTTAAGTTCTGCATAATCAACATGATTTTTTATTCAAATATATCATTGTGGGATTCTATAAATAAATAATTAAATGAATTTTCTTTTTTTTCAGATGCATACGAAATGATAGAAGAAAGTCCCGATGGAGGATTTAAGTTCGTTGTGTCTTACCACTTTGAAACGAATATGCGCTCAGCGGGTGAACGTCATCATCCAAGCCGTACTAAGCGACTGGCTCAGGAAGCAGTTACACTTTCAACTGCCCTCCCATTATCCTATAGCAGCAGTGTCTTCGTGCGTTGTGATACCGATCGCTTAGACATTATGAAAGTCTTGATCACTGGACCGGCCGATACACCTTATGCCAACGGTTGCTTTGAATTTGATGTTTACTTTCCACCTGATTATCCCAACAGTCCTATGATGATTAATTTAGAAACCACAGGAAGGCGTACTGTTCGATTTAATCCAAATCTTTATAATGATGGTAAAGTCTGCCTTAGTGTACTTAATACCTGGCACGGCAGACCAGAAGAGAAATGGAACGCACAGACTAGTAGTTTTCTTCAGGTAAATTATTTTATCCCAAAGAAAAAATTTTGATCCGTAAATACTCATTTTATTATTTCATTTTTTCATATAGGTACTTGTATCAATCCAGTCTTTAATTTTGGTATCTGAGCCATATTTCAATGAACCTGGCTACGAAAGATCTCGTGGAAGCACCAGTGGTGCTCATTCCAGTCAGGAATACAACGCTAACGTATCTCAAGCTACCGTTAAATGGGCAATGCTAGAACAGATTAAAAATCCTTGTCCCTGTTTTAAAGAAGTAAGTTTACATAAGAAATAATGAAAATGTTTTTCCTCATAGTTATCAGTCACTTTATAAATTAATCATTACTATTATTTCGAAAGGTTATACATACACACTTTTGGCTCAAGAAACATGAAATTTGCGCACAAGTAGAAGGCTGGATCAGAGAAATGGAAAATTGTACTGTTGACCGACGAACTGGAAGAACATTGTCAATGACTGCTTTAGCCTTACAGGTAAGTGGTACCTTTATTATTCTTTATATATAATGTGTAAATATTATTAATATATCAATAACGTCAATTTTACAGAGACATTATAAGCACTTAAGAGAGGAATTGAACAAATTACCTACGCCTGAAGGCCTGGAAGATCTAGCAGAGCCGCTGCGCTCACCAGCCTCACCCCTTGACAATACTCTGACACCTGGTACACCTAACTCGCCTCCACCCTCAACAATGGCCTCACATTTCATTAACTTGACCAATCCCATTCAGAGTACTAGTGCGTCTGAGACAACGATGACTACGACAAGCAATCACGTACAAAACGACATCGACACAGATGTTGAAATGGAAAAAATAGTCTCAAAAGTGTGCGACTGAGAAGCGCCGTACACGAGCATATTGTTGGATATTCTTTAAAGTCTATTGTTACAGTTTTATTGTGAATATAAAGAGACATGCACGTAATCATCGACATTATTGCCGATGTCGTTGAGGAAAAACCGATATAGAACTGTCTATTGCGACTGATGTAGCATAAAAATGATACTGGGGAGAAACCGTTCTATAGTAAGATTATTAGTGAAAAAATGCGTGTGAAGAAAAAAATCAATAATTAGTGGAGAATATGTGTTTTATGTAAATGCTCTCTAGAAGAGTCATTAAAGTTATTTTGCGCGAAAGAATGAGGACGAAAAATGAATAGTTATGTTAGTAGTTGCCAACAACTGCTGTAATGATGTGACGTGTGCTGCGTTTGTTTTACTAATATCGTATGTATTAAGAGGGAAAATAACAATCGTTACCTTTGCTATTTATGTTACAAATATTTCTCATTTGCAATGACACCTGATTTTTATAAATAAACATCAGAATTCAGGGTCACGAGTTAGTTTTCTTTTATTTTATTAATAGTTATGAGGAAAGCCGTGTCGACCGCTGGGTTTATCCTTAGAATAATTGTTGTGAAACGCAGGATTTATAGTTGTGTGGTTGCTGATTGAGTAGGCCGAAATTATTTTTGAGTTCAATTAAATGTATCGCTCGAAATTTCCCATAAAGTGAACGAATGAGATCGATTTTTATTGTGGATGAACGAAAGAAATTTTTATCGACTCTTAAGAGTAGATGTCGGTGATATTGAGCTCCATGTACTATTTTAAGTCGGCCTTGTTAGAAAATAATGGAAAACAATTGAGCGTTTTATTGAAGTAGTGCGTTTTATAATTCTAATAGATCATTGGTGAAGTTGATGATAACCATAAGACGTACACCAGTTTATTAAGCGCGCAATTGTATTTTTCTTTTTTTATTTGCATTCATAAATCATTATTTAGTTTGTTGTTTATATATACATATTATATATGAAATATATATCTTTTCTCACTACAAAAGAAAATGTTGACTTTGATACTTATACGTGAAAATTACAAAAGAGAGTGTTTGGTGTAGATAGCGTTATGTTTATATGAAAAAGCGATGATGTGATCAGAACTAATCGTGAAGGAATATGAAAATGTCCTTGACGGTACTGTCGATCAATGTAAATAATTTTCGAATAAAGTAATATTGCACACACGCATATATATGTTTATAATTCTAAAGAGAGTAATAAAAAAATTAACTACGATAAAATGTCTTACAAATGTTGAAAAGAGTGAACGATACCGAATCAAGCAAAACAAAAATACCGAAAAATTTTTAATAAAACGAACAAACACTATACATATAGATTACTCTCTCTCTCTCTCTCTTGAATCACACGAGATGCGATATTGATTTGAATGTCGCTTTTCTGATCAACATGTTGTAAAGTGATGTATCGAACAAAAAAACGTGTTAATAGTTATTTATAATAAACAATTGATATTACCCTCAGGGCAAAAGATTTTAGTTTCATTGAACCAAAATACCAGATTCTACATCAAAATTTAACGTAGTCCGTGAAGTAATAAGTTTCGGGTTTATTTTTTACAGATGATATATTTAATATATTTATTTTAAGTAATACGCATTTGGAAATCGTATACTAAATAAATTAAAGAATCATTTGACTATTTGAAATATTATCAAAACTAGATAGATTGGGGAATCGCAAAGCAGTGCTACTTAAAATTGTAATGATCAAGGTGTTAAGTTATTTCTACTCTAATTTCCTTCAATAATTGTAATAATAAATTTTCCTAATTTTAGATCATAATAACAATCTTTTTGTTGAATATAGACAGCAATATCAATCGATTTTTACCACCTATTTATTCGTTTTGAAACATTGGTAGATAACAGATTCTCCATACTAGAGTTAGTAGATCTCAGCCCCTTAAAAAAACAACAATTTCATATATCTTATTTAAAATTTTTACTAAATAACGATTTAGAAAGTTCAGCGTTGATCAAAAGAATCTCCGGAAATTAACTGCCTCATCGCGTAACTTTATAAGCCAAATAGTGAAGATTGTATTTTTTTTAAAAAGTTTAACTATGAATTTCTTTGTGCTTTTGTGGATCAGGGATGGTTGTGTTTTTTTTGCTTTGTACGTAGTCAAAACGACTATTCGGTACATCGAATGATTAGCTTACACCCCCTCGAAACACTTGGTAATTTTACTGAAAATTATGATTCTGCAAAATTATGTCGCTGCAAATTTTTCATGCAGCACCAACGCACATCGATAAATTTGCGAGACAGCCTCGGGGAAATTTTCCAAAAAAAAAACTCGATCGACGCGACATTGTTCTCTCGTTGCGAGCGCGTGCATTGTATGCGTATACGAGACGCATTGATAAAAGTGCACCTCCGTTGCATCTCCGACGCATACCGACGTGTGCATTTTTATTGACATCACTCTCTCTCTCTCTCTCTCAGGTACTACACACATTGCGCGCACTTATCGTGATTTATTATTGTACAATATAAACATGAAATTTTCTTACGAGTCGCCTCCGCTCGTCGCTACTCTCTTAATGCAATGATAATTGCGGCTTAAAAACGATATCTCGTCGTGTGCGTGTGTCGCGAGCACCCGTGTAACGTCGTCGTGCGTAATCGTGCACTCAGGGATGTATGTACGCTCTTTGCACGAGACGAAAATTGACTTTACTTCAGAAGCCAATACAAACACAGAGGCGCTCACGGTTTATAGCGCAAAGAAAAAGCAACGACGACGACGACGACGAGGACGACGATGGAAAAATTGGTATTCGGCCTGACGGACTACCTGCTGCTGGGCGGTCTGCTGGGCTTGAGCCTGCTCATCGGAATATACTTTGGCTTTTTCAGCAAACAGAACAGCGCCGACGAGTACCTGTTTGGCGGCAAGCACATGGGCTACCTGCCCGTAGGTACCAGCATCATAGCGAGGTAAGCCTGAACTTATGTGCTAAAGCTCAAAGCTTGTACAAATTATCCTCTTATCCTTTTAGAAAAAATTGATTGATTTAAAAATATCGTAAAAAGTTTTGAGGCGATTTGGTTTTGATGAACGTAAGAAAGTCGCGGAACAATGAATCTTGCAGGTAATTTAATGGGAACGAAACGCGCTGAAAAATAACTGACATCATAAAACTTAAGGGATTCAACATTTTATCAACTACAAATCAATAATATACTTCATTTTTTTCCAATTATTTATTGATTATTAAGAAACTTGAACATTTTTTCTACATCAGGAAATGCCATTAGAGAAACACATGATATTATTGTAAATGAACTCGTCTTCCGAGATGTAAATTATATTTTATACGTTTATTCAGTTATCATGTGCCAGCACGGTGCACGGAGTCAATGTGGGTTTTCAGATTATTTTTTTGTGAAAATGTCTTACTGCATTTATTACATGCATGGGTGATTTTTTTATGCACCGAATCGATGTGTAGTTTGAGATTACCTTTAGTTAAGTATTTTTTTCCGCATATATCGCACGCATGTCTGACACCACTGTGCTTTGCGTTAACGTGGACTCCAAGACTAATTTTTTGTGAAAAAGTTTTGTCGCATATATCACATGAGTAGGTAATACCACTATGCATCGAATCTATGTGAGTTTTGAGATGATCCTTGCTTGAGATCACCATTGTGAACCGAATCGATGTGCCTTATGGCATTACGCTTATCTGAAAATGTCTTTCCGCAAATATCACATGCATGTTTGACATTTAGTGGGCCGTACTACTGTGGATTTTGGGTCTACCTTTCTGAGTAAATGACTTTCCACTAATATCACATGCATGTGAAACACCATCATGCATTGCATTTAGATAAGCCTTTGATGCGAATATTTTTCGGCAAATATCACATGTATGTGGGTCACCATTGTGCGGAGCATCAATATGGGCCTTAAGACTGTTAATATGTTTGAATGTCTTGCCGCATTTATCTCAAAAATGGGTAATACAACGATGTAATGATTTGAAATGCCTATTCAGACTATATTTAGATGAGAATTTTTTACTGCATGTTTTACATGCTTGAGTTGTATCATTATCTAAACTACCGAGGTGTTTTTTGAAATTATGTTTTTTATTTGGCTTGCCAAGTTCCCAGTCAAAATTAAAATTCAATTTTTCATCGATGTCATCAACCAATTCTTGTTTTACTTTCTCCGTGGGTTCTATTTTAATTATGTTTTGAGTTTTATAACTGTTGCTATACTTTTACACTCTGTAAATGACTTGGAAAATCATTGTCAATTTTCTTTACTGTTAATGAATTAATGTTGGGCTTGACGTCTTCGCATTCAACAACTATTTCCACTTCGCCATCATTTTCACTTTCATGATTTTCTTCACAATTCGGAAGTATATCGGTCTGTTTAAAAATCAAAGGTACGTGAAAGATTTCACAAAAAAATAACTAAAATATGAATGACTTACTGAATTTTCTCGCAGGAATGGTAAGAGTTGGATGTTTTTCAAATCAGGTTTCTCTTCAATCATATCATAATTATTTTCAATGAGTGAGTCATTAGTAGGCTCCTCTTTTATTCTGAAATAACCTCAATAAGATCAAGTATTATGTTATAATATCTTTATATCAGTCCTCAAAAATGAAAATTACCTGAGAGCACAATCAAGTATATCACTGGACTCCATATTTTTCTCTCGGAATTTTCTTAACAATCAATCTTTTAGTGATGATTGCTCATTTCAAACTAACAAAACACAAAAAGACTGACGATGGGCGATGTGCTGTCCTCGCTAAATTTTGGAAAACTGTGACTATGCAAAGGGCTCCAGCTTATGCTCGAGTAGCTCCGCGGCATAGTCGTCCGTGTATAGCTTACCGCAATGGCATACACGGCAAAGTACCATACAGAACAAATTCGGAGATCATGAGACGATGCACGACGTAAACAACAGAACAAAAACAGCTCTGAATGCTCTTAGACGGTCTTTTCGTGTAGCTTAAATTTAATTTATATAATATTTTCAAATTGTGTAATGAAATTTTGGAATTGTCAATTTAAACGAAACGAAAAAAAGAAATTATAATTATATTAATGATGAATTCACAATAAAAATATTTCCATCGCTAATAATAAACTGTAGCGAAAAAATGATAAATCATTCTACGTCGCGTTACAGTTTGCTGTCCGGCATCACTTATCTGGGCGTGCCGACCGAGGTCTACCTGTACGGGGCCTTTTACGCGTTCACCCTCATCAACACCTGCATCACGGGCTACCTCACGGCCTTCGTGTTCATGCCGCTGTTCTATCGGCTGCAAGTCAAGAGCACCTACGAGTACCTGGAGCTGCGCTTCAGTCGGCGAATCAGGCGCTTCGCGTCGTTCCTCTACATATTGTCGCTGATGGTCTACGTGCCGATCATCATTTACGTGCCGTCGCTGGCATTCGCCCAGGTCACCGATCTCAAGCTCAGCCTCGTCGCGCCCATACTCTGCGCCATTTGCATCGTCTACACGGCCCTCGTGAGTGCATATCTGCGCGGCGCTGTATCGACTCGATGATCCGCGCGCGATCTTGATTATTTTATTTTATAATTCTGAAAAAAACATCAGGTTTTTCCTCGTTTTATTTTCGGATAATTTGTTAATTCATTGTGTATGTTTGTGCCTCAGGGTGGGGTTAAAGCCGTCGTCTGGACGGACTTTGTGCAATTTTTCTTCGCCGTCGGAGGATTGCTGGCTGTCCTCGTACTCGGGGTCATTTCCGCGGGTGGTCTCTCGGCCGTCTGGCAAGTGTCGAGAGATGGACAAAGACTCGATATATTCAAGTGAGCTGATCATTATTACTACTTCTACTGAAGGATGTTTATAAGTTGAATATTTTGCAATATTTAATGTTCGCAGCATGGATCCGAGCCCGTTCGTCAGAAATACTTTCTGGGCCATGTCGTTTGGTACGGTTTTCTCCTCTCTCAGTCACTCGGCCGTCGGTCAGAAATTCATACAGCGATATTTGACCATCGATAATCTCACCGACATAAAAAAGTAATAATTCATTGTCTATAGATTCAGTTTCTTAGAACATCGTCGCTAATCGTACACCCTACCATATTTCAGAGCAGTATTGATAAAAACAATTGGCACTTTAGTCCTGGACGCTGGCTGCGTCTACTGCGGACTTGTCATTTACGCCAGGTATTTCAACTGCGACCCGATTGAATCTAAGGTATTATAATGTGTTTATACATTCGAGGAAACAAAAAAAAAACGATTACCTGTGTTATTATACTTTCTGGTCAGATAGTCGAACGAGGAGATCAGATCGTCCCGTACTACGTGATGGATATAACGAAAAATTTTCCAGGCCTCTCGGGAATGTTTTTGGCCGGCATTGCCGGATCGGCACTGTCCACCATGAGCGCCAGCATAAACACCCTGTCGGGCATCATTTACGAGGATTTCATCGATCAGTGGATACCCGAGAGCCCAACGAAAGACTCTAAGGCAGCCAATATCATGAAGGTTCGTCCATTTGTCTTTTTGCGCTAGCTTACCGATACTCACCTGCACTGAAAAACTTAAAAAAAAAAAAAAAAAAAATACAATACCAAGCGACGTTATAATATTTCCCAGATTATCAGTCTGTGTTCTCCGTACGATGTAGCATTATAATTTTAATTCGCAAAGTTTCTCATCGAGGAAAATGATAATTTTTACAATCCATTGTTTTTTCAGCTGAGTTCCGTGATAATTGGCGTAGTGAGCATCGGCCTGATCTTCGTGATCGAGCATCTCGGCACGGTGCTCGAGCTCTCCTACAGCGTGCGCGGCGCCGCGGACGGTCCGCTGCTCGGCTTCTTCTTTCTCGGTATGTTCTGCCCGTGGGCCGGCGAACGAGGCACCCTGACAGGGGGCTGCGTCGGCCTCCTCTTCATGCTCTGGGTCTCCGCGGGCTCCAAGTGGCACATCATGAACAATCGCATGCGCACACCGCACCTGCCTACTTCGATAGAGAATTGCTCCTCGGAGTTGATGATGAGCAGGAGTTCGGAATTACAGACGACGACTCTGGCGCCGCTCAGCCCGGACGAGGAGCCCATGCTGCTGTTCAAAATGACCTTTTTGTATTTCGCTTTTTTCGGCTCGATCATAACGGTCGTGGCGGGACTGATTACGAGCTTCGCCATCGGCGAGGTTGATCTAACGAAGGTGAATCCCGAACACATAAGTCCATTTTTTCGCAGGTAAATTATTTGGACTTTTGAACGCTTAAGTATTTACCGACGAGCTGTCACCTTGAATTTTCAGATTTTTACCAAAGAAAGCGTATCAAGAAGTTTCGAAGAGAGAGGAAAACGCGGTGGAAAAAAATCACATGGAGTCCCGATTGTAATAACTCGTCGATTACACTCACATCGTGGACGTTCAGTAAAAATGAAAATGCATTTTTTAATTTCAAAAATATCTCATCATATTATTTTAATTATTGTTATTAGTATCATAAAATGTATTACTGTACTTTGTTTGATTTGAGCTTATAAAACGATGTCGTGCATGTGCGAAATTGTGTGCAGGAAGATTAAAACGAAATTTCATGCACTGAAAAGTTCACAAAGTGAATCATGTAACACACGGTACGGTACGCACATAATTTATTTCCAATTATCTTGGAAAAATTTCTATAAATTTTTTAAATCTTATCAATTGTTGATATTAGTTAATCTAAAGCGCCTTCAGCTCAAAAATCGTTTTCTTTAATCGGCCGAATATGTTTTTCATTGACCAGATGGTTTTAAATAAATGCCAATAATTTTTCACTTTTGTGCATATTCGAATTCAAGTAACTTTGTCGTATTTTCAAGCAGTCGCACATGTCACACACTTATTACGTAGTGCCAGAAACTTTTACGAAGGCAATTTTGTACCAATTCGTATCACAAAATAAATCTTCAAGTTTAAACATTCTTATAATAAATAGTGATTGATTTCTTTGTAACATTAATAAATATTCAAAGATTTTCGATCAATTTTTGAAACATGATTTTAACTTGAAAACAAATAATCGAGTGCGGTGTATTTGAAAATCATCATTTATCACACTGTCATCGGGCGTCGCGTCAAGTTCGCGCGCGTCGGAAAGAGTATAGTATAATATACCGCACGCAATGTTTGCCCGGCTTGCAGGTGTGCACACGACGATCGAGCTCAACCAAGCTCAAATCGAGTATAAACCGAGACGTCGGCGCCGTCTTGTTTATATTATCTCACGTATTTATATTTTCCTTTACAGAAAAAAGTAAAAAAGAAAGAAAAAGGAAAAAACGTAAATACGTGTTCTCTAGCGTATATATATGGATGCTCGCGTGGATTCGATATTAGCGCAAGTAATTATGCAAACAGTACAAGAGATTGATAATAAAGCTTATCGCTTTACGATTCTCAATGATAAATCAAACGTCGAAGCTCTCTCGTTACATTTAATTATATACATACACCCGCGCGCGCCAGAGAGGATTCACGCGTGTACGGAAAAATTAGTCTCTCTTGACTCGTCGCGATTAGCAGTTCCGTTTAACTCGTTCGCTCGCGTCGCTCTCTCCTCTCCATGCAATTCCATCATCGAGAGCATTCTTTCGCGATAATCGAGAAATAACACAAAAATGGATTTGAACGCGACAACGGCAAAGTCGACGGTGGTGGTTACGATGGTGCTGGGTCAAGCGACCAAGTCACTGGTGTTCGGCTGGACGGACTATCTGCTGTTCAGCGCGCTGCTCGGTCTGAGCCTCTTCATCGGCATCTTCTTCGCCTTCTGCAGCAAGCAGGACAGCGCCGCGGAGTATCTGTTCGGCGGCAAGAAAATGGGATACTTTCCTGTCGCGGTCAGCACCGTCGCCAGGTATGATACACGCGTAAATTTTTTCACGCTCTCTGCATCCATCGTACGTCATTCGATCCTTTCAGCATGATCTCGGGTGCCTCGCTGATCGGCTTCCCCACCGAGGTCTACCAGTACGGCTCGCAGATCATCCTGCTGTTCGTGTCGTTCGCCCTCGGCAGCGTCCTTACGGCCTGCGTCTTCATGCCCGTCTATTACAAGCTCGAGGTGACGAGCACCTACGAGTATCTGGAGCTGCGCTTCTCGCCAAATCTGCGCTACTTCGCCTCGGTCATGTACGTCGTCTCGCTGATGATCTACATACCGCTGGTGGTCTACGTGCCGGCACTGGCCTTCTCGCAGATCAGCGGCGCCAACATACACACCATCACGCCCGTACTCAGCCTCGTCTGCATCACCTACACCACCATCGTACGTAATTTTGCACGTTTAATAAAGCTAGTTGTTCGTTTTTTATGAGTTTGTTGTTGTTATTGTTGTTGAATGTGTACAGGGAGGAGTTAAAGCTGTCATCTGGACAGACACAATACAGTTCATATTTACCCTTGGAGGATTGTTTACTTTCATGTTCTTAGGCGTCAAGTCGGCCGGTGGCATAGCGGCCGTCTGGAAAATAGCCGACGCCGGTGGCAGATTGGACGTTTTCGAGTGAGTTAGCGATCTAGGATGCTTGTTGATCAAAATAAGCGCTTTTTTCAATGTATTTATGATTTCAGCTTCGATCCGAGTCCTTTTGCTCGAACGACGTTTTGGGGTCTGATAATTGGTATGACGTTTTCGAACGTAAGCTCAGTGTCCATTGGCCAAAAATACGTGCAGAGACTGCTGTCTATCAAAAAGGAGTCCGACCTCGCCAAGTAAAAATTAAATCGACGCTCGTTTACCCCACACTTGTAACGCATAACTGTAATTCAATTATTTTTCTATCAAGGACACTGCTCTGGGTTGGCATCGGCTGCTTCATCATCGTCGTGGCAGTCACGATAACGGGCATAACCATGTACGCGAGATACGCCTCCTGCGATCCCATTAGCGCCGGGGTAACTATGTTGTTTTGCTAGCATTACATGTACCTACAAGCTTATTAAACGCAGCTTCTGCAAAATTCGCCATGCTCACCGAATCTCGCTCAAAGCCCGGTAAATCTAATTTTCGTACGCTTGTACCTGCGCAGGCGATCGATAAGAGCGACAAAATCGTGCCGTATTACATAATGGATATAGCCGGCGATCTGCCGGGTTTGCCGGGCATATTTCTCGCCGGTATCGTAAGCTCGGCCCTGTCGACCATGAGCGCGGCCCTCAACACGCTGTCGGGCACGATCTACGAGGACTTCATCGATCGCTGGATCCCGGAAAGCCCAAAGAAAGACGCCAAGGCGGCTCTCATCATGAAGGTTTGCTCGTAATGAAGAGATGCTCGTATCATAATTATCGCCCAATTGTAATTTTTATCAACTCAATCGATTTCGCAGGGCATTTCCTTCTTGATCGGTCTTATTACCATCGCCCTGATCTTCCTGATCGAGCATCTCGGCTCGATCTTCGAGATGGCCATGAGCCTGCGCAGCGTCGTCGAGGGCCCGATGCTCGGCATCTTTCTGTGCGGCATGTTCCTGCCCAAGGTCGGCAAGAGAGGCGCTCTGTGGGGCGGCATCGTGTCCCTGCTGATCATGGCCTGGATCCTCGGCGGCTCCAAGTGGTACAGCTCCCAGGGCAGGCTCAAGAATCCGACTCTGCCCATGTCCACGGAGAACTGCAGCGCTATTAGTTTTCCGGCGTCGATGCTCGATAATGCCACGACGACGTCGACGACGACCAAGAGCCCGATTCTCGATCCTGCTTTGGTGGCTGCGGACGAGCCGATGCTGATCTACAAAATATCGATGCTGTACTTGGTGATGGTGGGTACCATCATTGCCGTCGTCGTGGCTGTCGCGGTCAGCTGGATGACGGGCGAGTGGAACACGACCGAAACTCATCCGGATCTTCTCTCGCCGGTCGTGAAAAGGTAAGTGCTGCATGAAATTGTTGTTTCAGCTCGAATAATAGGAATCATTGATCACATCATTGTGTATAAACGTGCGCAGATTTTACGCAAAAAAGTCGTCGTCGTCCTACGACGAGGTGGCGACGGACGAGCGGCAGCTGCACGACCACGCGCTCAAAAAGCTCAACGATCAGCATCAGCTTCACACGGACGAACTTAAAGATACGTGACGTCGGCGTATCGAGATACGCAATGTAAACATTCACATCTATAATAGGTATGTGTACCGCGGCATCGGAGGCTCTGGATCGTCTGTGCAATCGTGTCAGTATATCACACACACACACACACATTGCGATGTAATGCAATTAAAGGCTGTCTCGCTGCTGCTGTTTATCGATATCGATGTGTACTTATATTTTTTTAGATGCAAAGTCATCACAGTGTGCTGAAGTATTATTGTTATATTTTTATTGTGTATATTTCGTTCGGCCGAGAATACTCGTGTTTTATTTTATAATAAATCGTAAAAAAATTGAAAATTTGCGATGGAAAAGTCACGATATTGTCGTATCAATATGAGAAAAGCATAGAAATGCATATCTATATTTGAAACATATCTGGAAATATATGTTGAAATAAGTCGTAAATTCTTCGCGCTTCGCGACAGATTTACGACGAAGCTGTATGAATAAAATTACGTATATCATGTCAATACGTGTGAAAGCGACGCGAATTAGTTTTATGTATTTTCATCGACTGAAATTACGAAACTTGTCAAATGTATTAGTATAGTCTTGTACAAAAGTGTCTTCGATCAAATAGGCTCTTCCCATTCAAATAAAAAACATGTTGACTTTAAATTGTATCATTACAATAGCTTAAATATATCGCCACATTGTAAATATTAATATTAGTCGCTAAACGAAAAAATGTACTCTTGTAAAACATCGATGTATTCCGATAACAACCCATGGCACGCGAGTATCAATTCCGAATCGATAAATTCTCGGTTTAAAGCCCAACAGCAGTCGCGGCAGCAGTGGCGCAACACGTTACAATATACATACGTATACGTACAGCTTTCAGCAAGAGATCGAGGTAATTGGCCCAAGTTAACGAGGTGTTATCGTAAACAGCCTCTCTAAATGTGTGCTGCACGCGTATACTATGTTGTGGATGCAGACGTTGCGTCTCGAGTGCGCCGTCTGTGTAAGTAGGTATACGTGCGTGTGTGTGTGCATGTGCACGCGGCGGCAACTGCATCACGTTCGAGTTTCGTTTGTGCTCCTGCAAGAGAGAGGGTAAGTTTGTCGTCGTCGTCGTTCTACTACGACCCTGTACATAGGTATACATATGCTGTTATTTACACGTACACATATACCCAGGCACCGATATGACGCACAAGTCGAGCCCTAAAACCAGCGACGAACTTGTACATGTACCGAGCGCGCGGAGGAACGACCAGTGCTTTCGCGCGCGCGCGCGCTTGACTGATGTGACTTTGTTTCTTGGCGTGGGTAGTGTATTTTTTTTACTTTTCTTTTTTTTTTTAAAGTCGAGAAGCGGACAACTTTCTTGCGCGCGCGTGGGTAATTTATACTTTTTTTCTGCGCACCCGCAGCAAACGCTATACAGTTAAGCGTGCACCCGGCAAATTGCTCTTTTCTTTACTCTCTCTCGCACTCATCTCTGTACATGCTCCGTCTTTTCTCTTTATGATGAAGTCCCCGGAGCCGGCGTCGGTGTATGCGAGAATTTTGAGCTTTTTATCATCTGTTTTTTTTTGAGCTTTCTCGTGGCCTGCGCGTGTATATCATACTTTGGCAATTTTGTTCAACGACTGCACCGGCACGTCGGAGAATGCGACTTTGCGATGCAGTCGCCAACGACACGTCGCACGGGTCAATGAACAAAACCATTCGTTCTCCATGCCGTGGCATAGCCGTGACTTTCGGGCAAAGAGCTGCCGATTACACCTTTCCAGAAGATGCGCAGCGCTGTCGACTCTTTCGATCTACCCTCGCTGTATGGAGTAATACCTACGATCTTGTCTCTTTGTTCTTGTGAGGTTGGTCTCGAGTCGATAAGTTGAACCCGCTTCGAGAGTTTTCGATTAACCCATTAACGCGCAAAAGTGCAATTTTGTGCATGAATTTTCCATTGTAAAAAAATTATAGATAAAGTTAAAATATTTTCTTGAAAATCCACACCCAGAGGTTTTTGGGTATGCTCTTTCAGTATTTTTGCGATAAATAAACATTATCATCGTTTATTTTGCCATTAAAAACAAAAAACCTGATTTTTTGACTCAAAATTTTTTTTCAAAGTCGATTTTCTACCTGGTCTTGCCTTCGGAGGGTTCCCATAACACCAGAAATCGTGCACTTTTTCTTTGAACCTTCAAAAAATGCGCTGCCGTGATTTTTATCTAGCCCCTACATTTCTAAAATGGAGAATTTATACCGGGCAGTGGTATAAAAATTCACTCATTTTTTACTCAGAACCTATTTTACATGCGCTAAATATGAACTCAAAAGTACAATTTGGAGTGTAAAAACTCATTTGAAATCGTTTAGAGAATACGTGTGATTTTTTCAGAATTTTTCAGACCACTTTGAAAATTTTGCAAAATACAACCATTTCCCGGCCTGTCGAAAAAAATCCAAAATATTCCAAAAAAATCTGAAAAATTCTGAAAAAAATTATTAAAAAATTCTAAAAAAAATTCACATATATTCTTTGAACAAATTTGAACACTTTTCATTGTATGACTTTCTTTTATAAAGTCAACAATTTACAAATAAAAAATAAGGCAATTTTTATATCGCTGCTCGGTATAAATTCGCCATTTTAGAAATATAGCGGCTACATAAAAATCGCGGCAGCGCACTTTTCGAAGGTTCAGAGAAAAAGTGCACGATTTTTGGTGTTATGCCCTCCGAAGGCAAGGCAAGGTAGAAAATCGACTTTGAAAAAAAATTTTGAATCAAAAAATCACATTTTTTGTTTTTAATGGCAAAATAAACGATGATAATGTTTATTTATCGCAAAAATAACACCGGATACTGAAAGAGCATACCCAAAAACCTCTGGGTATGGATTTTCAAGAAAATATTTTAACTTTATCTGTAATTTTTTTACAACAGAAAATTCATGCACAAAATTGCACTTTTGCGCGTTAATGGGTTAAAAATCGATTGCCCAACAGTTTTTAGTGCCATTTAATGTACGTAAAGGTTTTACTCATTGGAGGATTAGAAACAGTGCCGCCTCCACGCAAACTTTCATTTGCCTCTTACGCAATTCAAAAAGCATTAATATAATAATTTGGATAAAAGTACTAAAAAACGGACAAAAACAATTATGAAAGCTTTTACTAATTTTTAAGAAACGTAGGAAACATTTCAAGTTTAAATTATATTGCTAAATGGTTTCCAGTATAGTTTTTTTCGATAAATACTTATTGTTATTATCGATCACTAATTTCTTAGCAGAATAATTAGTCTGTTATGTTTGATTAATTCAGGATCGCGTATCACTACCCGAGGTTTATCAAAAATCCAGGTGCCAACCAAACGCTCACTTCATTCAAAAAATCTCTCGGCTGATCGTTGCACGAAATTCTGCAGAATAAATTAGCTGTAAAATTCAAGAGAGATTAGTGATTGGCCGTAAGAGAAAATTTTTCTTATGTCAACAATAAAGCTAACCACCGCAGGACAGTGAACCAAGATGTAAAAATAGTAATTGATAGTCTGAGGTTCGGGTAATACACAAGCATATTAGCCCAAATTTTATTGAAATTTTAGAAAAATATTTATACAAGTATCAATATGTATATTTACAATTGTCAAGAAAACGATCCGTTTTTTTTATTGTTTTATTATTATTAATAAAGTGCTAACTATTCTCTGAGAAACTACTCAGAGTGAATGATTATAATAAATTCGACACATTCGTATAAACAATGAATTATTCATAAAATCTTTCTTCAAGGACTGTTTATTGTGTTCGTGGGCAAAATCTTAATGATCTTTATGGACCGTATTACGGTGGAAGTGCAAACTCTTTTGCAATTTTTGTCCATATTTCTTTTCATATTTTTCTCATGCTTAATCTTTGCGACCCTTCGTGAATTGTACTTTGGTGGTAGAGTAAACTTTCTTTACTTGTAAATTTTTTCCTGCAATTGTCACATGCGTAATCTTTGCGACCTTCGTGGACTGTCCTTTGGTGTCTAATCAAATTTTTTCGATCTCCGAATTTCTTCTCGCACTTGTCGCATGTAAAATCTCTACGACCTTCGTGTACTATCCTTTGGTGCTTGAACAAATCTGATTTATAACCAAATTTTCTCTCGCATTTGTCACATGCGAAATCTTTGTAATCGTCGTGTATTGTCCTTTGGTGCCTGGTCGAATCTGTTTGATTCCTAAATTTTGTCTCACAATTGTCGCATGGGAAATCATACCGACCTTCGTGTATTGTTTTTTGGTGAATGAGCAAATTCGATTTCTGTCCAAATTTCTTTTCACATTTGTCGCATGCATGATCTTTGCGACCCTCATGGACTATCCTTTGATGCTTGAACAAATCTGATTTGTAACCAAATTTTCTCTCGCATTTGTCACATGCGAAATCTTTGCAACCTTCGTGTATTGTCCTTTGGTGCCTGATCAAATCTGTTTGATCCCTAAATTTTGTCTTGCAATTGTTGCATGGGAAATCTCGACGACCTTCGTGTATTGTTTTTTGGTGAATGAGCAAATTCGATTTCTGTCCAAATTTCTTTTCGCATTTGTCGCATACGTAATCTCTGCGACCCTCATGGACTATCCTTTGATGCTTGAACAAATCTGATTTGTAACCAAATTTTCTCTCGCATTTGTCACATGCGAAATCTTTACGCTTTTCGTGTACTGTCCTTTGGTGTTTCAACAAATCTGATTTATAACCAAATTTTCTTTCGCATTTGTCACATGCGAAATCTTTGTAATCTTCGTGTGTTGTCCTTTGGTGCCTGTTCAAATTAGTTTGATCCCTAAATTTTGTCTCGCAATTGTCACATGGGAAATCATACCGATCTGCGTGGACTGTATTTTGGTGTCTGAGTAAATGCGATTTTAGTCCAAATTTCTTTTCGCAGTTGTCGCATGTATAATCTTTGCGACCCTCATGGACTGTCCTTTGGTGCTTCAACAAATCTGATTTATATCCAAATTTTTTCTCGCACTTGTCACATGCGAAATCTTTACGACCTTCGTGTACTGTCCTTTGGTGAATGAGCAAAGTTAATTTTCGCGTAAATTTACTTTCGCAATTGTTGCATGAGTCATTTTTGAGACCTTTATGTACTGCCCTTTGGTGCTTCAACAAATCAGATTTAGTTACACATTTATTCTCGCACTTGTTGCATGCGAAATCTTTACGCTTTTCGTGTACTGTCTTTTGGTGTGACAGCAAATTTGATTTATGTCCAAATTTCTTTTCGCAAATGTCACATGCGTAATCTTTGCCACCTTTGTTTGTTGTCCTTTGGTGGAAGAGTAACTGACTTTTTTGTCCAAATTTCTTTTCGTCCTTATCGTGTACTGTCTTTATGTGCAAGAGCAAACTATGTTTTTTTCTAAATCTTTTTGCGCACCTTTCACATAAGTAATCTTTGAAAACATCGTGGAATATTTTGTTGTGCTTAAGTAACGTTGATTTATTTTCAAATTTTCTCTCGCACTTGTGACACGTGAAATCTTCGCGATCTTTGTGTGCTAATTTTTGGTGAGTAAACAAACTTGATTTTTTTATAAATTTCTTTTCGCAATTGTCACATGCAAAATCTTT